TATAATCCAAATACCCCATAAAGCCATACCATTTCTTAAAGAAGACATCCCAGGGTATTTCAAAATTCATATTTTGAACCTTAGCGTGGGATCATTTTTCCGCTAGCTTGTACCAAGTGTAGTGGTAATAAGCATTTTTTCTGCCTTTTTGACATACAAAGTGAGTTTGTGCAACATATTTTGCAAACCTTATGTGTGCTATGACTGTATAATACTTCATATGTTGCTCAGCTATGTCAGCTGAGTACAGCAATACCCCTGTATGTACCTTTGCTAGGTATATGTGGATGTTGAAGGGGCGCATTTGAGACGCAGCCATTCAGTTTTTTTCTAACTTTGAAGTTTTACGCTGTGTCCATGTTCCAATTTGGAGTAGTTTAGACGGTTGGTTATTGAAACTTCCCCACAAACACATACTATTTATTAAAGAATATACCCTGGGGTAATTCAAAAGGCATATTTTGAACCTTGGCGTGGGATAATTTTTTTTCTAGTTTGTTCCAGGTGTAGTGGTAATGAGCGTTTTTAAAATGTATTTTTTTACTTTTTATAACTTTTTTACTTTTAAAAACTAGTTTTTAAACTTTTGTTTTGCTTATAAATTTTTTTTAAACTTTCCTAAACTTTCTTAAAACTTTTTACAGATTTAACATTTTTCTAAGCTTTTTTTTTTACCGTTAACCCCTAACTAGCAGTACGCAGCACTAACAGTAAATTCCCCATTTTCCCATAACTCCCACCCACCCCAGCTAGCAAAATACATAGTTATAAAATATTTTAATTAATTAATTAAATAAATTGAACCCCTGAGGGTTAAAAAAGAAATAAAAAGTTAATCCTCAGGGGTTAAAAAAAATTAGATCACAGTATAATACTGTGATCTCTATTTGATCGCTGTAGGCAGTGATCGACTGGCAGGGAAGGGGTTAATTTTTATTTGGACTAGGTAAACGTTTTTTGTTTTTTTTTACTTAAACGTTATTAAAACATTTTTTAAGCTTAATTTTTTACTTTTTAAAGGTTATTTTAAAACTTTTTTTAACGTTAACCCCTAGTTAGCCTAACGCCAAATCCCCCAATTCCCCACTAACTTCCACCCACCCCAGCTAGCTAAATATATAATTTTAAAATATTTTAAATTAATTAATTAAATAAATTTAACCCCTGAGGGTTAAAAAAAAATGAATTAACCCTCAGGGGTTAAAAAAAAAAAATCAGATCATAGTAAAATGTAATCCCTGCCAATTGATCACTGTAGTCAGTGATCAATTGGCAGGGAAGGGGTTAATTTTTTATTAAAATGGGTAAGGGGGGGGGACTTTAAATAAACTTTATTTTTTTTTCCAGCAGGGGGCAGGATCAGCACTGATCCGGCTCCCTGCACTTCACACAGAACCCGGAAGTGCAGGGAGCCGGTAGGTGAGTATACAGAGCACATGTGCTCGCTCTGACTTGCGGTCAGAGCGAGCACATGTGCTGGGCAGCCTGACCGGGTGCTCCCGGTATGCCTCTAATGCAGAGGCATACCGGAGCACCATTAACCCCGCGATCGCCGCAATAGCGGCGATCCAGGGTTAATTTTACCGCGTGACGGACGAGGTCCGTCACTCGTCGTTAAGGGTTTCCCCTGAGTGACGGACCTCGTCCGTCACTCGTCCTTAAGGGGTTAATATTTTTTATTAAAATATCAGGGGTTGATATTTTATTGGTGCTTATTCCCATTTATTATTTAAGTATCACAGCTGTTTATTGTGCATGAGATATAGCAGATAAGTACATGCGGTTTAGTCATTTTTAAAGGTGGGACACGCAGGTCCAGCGTTGTCGAGCGTTGCAAGCTTTTTTGCATCAGTAGTTTGCAATTGACAATTATGTAAGTTACATAAAGATTGAAAATTTAAACAAGTTCAACTTTTTCCCAACTGAGTATCCCGTATGTCCGTTGTTGTTCCCATAGGTCCCTAAAGCCTCTGTCAGCATTAAGTGTGTACGTCAGTTGGTGGGGACCCAGGGGTCCCGTATTTATGGGAGTGGTAAATGTTGTTGAATATATATTCCAGTGTATAAGTGTCTCTGTTGTGAGGGGCTGGGACGTCAATGTGCCTCAAAGTTTTGGTGTCCGTGTTTTGGTGTCGAGTGTTGATGGTGGGTGGTATATCGAACGTCATGGTATATCGAATGTCACGGTCGAGTTGCTAGTGTCTAGTCAATTACAGGTTGAGGGGGGTGGAGGGGTGGGCCCGTCCATCGGGGTTCGTTCGGTTCTCCATGCTAGGGGGGCGTGCTAGGTTCCAGCGGGTGGGGGTTTGTTCTTCCAGTTGCAGTGTTCATGTCTGTTGTTGTGTTCGCGTTTTTCCTCCTGTCCATGCGGATTGCTCCGCCACGTAGACCAGCCACGGTCGCCACCTGTCTGTGTGTTTCTCTTCGGTTCCTAGGAGGGATGCCTGTATCGATTCCGCCGTGTATATTTCCTCAATTCTTTCCAGCCATTGCCATGTTGTAGGGATTGCATTCTGCTTCCAATACAATGGGATCAGGGCTTTGGCTGCGGTTAGGAGGTGTCAGAGGATTGATTTCCTGTAGGTTCTAATGGGGGCTGGCGTGGAGTGTAGTAGAGCCAGTTCCTTGTTGAAGTTTCCTTTGTCTCCTAGTATCTCCTTGGTTTTTTGTTGTATCTCGTTCCAGAATGGTGTGATGTGTGGGCAGTCCCACCAGAGTTCCTGGGTTCAAGCCACACCTCCAACACGTGTTGGGCACCTCTGGGAATATTCTATGTAATTTATCTGGCATCTTATACCAGAATGCCAGCAATTTGTAGTTGGTCGCTTGATATTTGGAGCTAGAAGAGCATTTATGATGTAGAATTATTAATTTTTTCCCATTAAGAATCGGTGAATGTTTTGGCGAGCGTCTGTTCCCATCTACGTCTGTAGGTGTTTTTGGTGTCGAGGTCTCCCACCAGGAGGTGCTGGTATAGGAAGGAGATGGCCTTATCCAGGTAGGTTTTGTTATCGCAGAGGCTCTCGAACCATGTTAGGTCTCGGTGTATAGCGTCTCTATTCGGAAGTGATCGATAGAAGTGTTTGAGTTGTGTGTATCTAAGCATTTGTAGTCTTGTCGGACGGCGGCCTTCGGTCATTTCCCGTAGCGGTTTTAAATCCGCGTTTAGTAGTGTTTTGTGTATGGGGAGGGTATCTCCCTCACCTATGAAGGCCCAGCTTTGTGGTGGCGCTCCTCCCCCTATCTTGGGGTTGTGTTGTACCTGGATTAGTGGGCTTGGAGTAGGGGACAGGTGGGTGGCCCTTCTGATGCTATCCCATGTTCTAAGTGTGTGGGCCACGGGGGAGCCGAGGTCAAGGGTATTTCGTGTTGAGCGTCCCATGTTCCACACGGCCGGGATGAGGGTTGGGTGCATGTGGCCTTTGTCCAAGGTAACCCGCTGTTTGTGTCTCTGGTGGACATGCCAGTCTAGTATTCTCTGTGGGTGCACACTTGGTGGTATTTACGTAGGTCGGGGAGTGCCAAGCCTCCCCATGCCCTCGGTAGGCAGAGCAAGTCGTGGCGGAGGCGTACTTGGTTTCCGTTCCATACAAAGCGGATCATGGTGGTTCGTAGGGAGGAGAGGAATGCTGTTGGTGGGGCTAGGTGTACTATTTGGTAAAGATAGAGTAGTCTAGGTAGTATATTCATTTTTAGTATTGCTATTCTGTCCAACCAAGAGATGTAGGGGTATGACCATTTTGCCAGGTCTCGCTGGATTCGCTGGAGGAGAGGTAGGTAGTTTGCCTGATATCGTGCATCTGTTTCCGTGGTGATCACTTTTCCGAGGTAGCGCATGTGGGATTGGCACAACCGGAAGGGGAATCGGTGTTGCAGGTCATCATCGTCTGGCGTGGGCACCGTGAGATTGAGTACTTCACATTTCGTTGTGTTTAATTTGAAGTCTGACAGTTCTCCATAGGCTTCGAATTAGCCTATTGAGGGTGGTTTCCGGGCGTGTGATGAAGAATAGGAGGTCATCCGTGTATGCAGCTGCTTTGTGTGTTGAGGTTTTCCAAGTGGAACCACAGATCTCTTCTGTCTGGCTGACTGCTTCCAGGAAGGGCTCTAGGGAGAACGCAAACAGCATGGGCGAGAGTGGGCATCCCTGACTTGTGCCGTTACGTATCATGAAAGAGTCTGATGGGCGCCATTCACTCGTACCCTAGCGTTTGAGTTATTGTATAGTGCCGTGATCCATTTCATCATGTTTGCGCCAAGGCCTATCTCTCGGAGGGCCTTTGTAAGGCGGACTTTTTGGGTGGCTAGGGTGCCCTGAGTGGAAGCAGTTCGGCATCCGGAGCCCCTACGGGTAGGTGTTTCCAGGGCATCAGTGTAGGGGGTGTCATAGGTGGGGTGTGTGCACGTCCCAAGGGTCTGAGTGTGGTACAGGGCTCAGCTTCTAGTGTCCCCAGCCCGTCCCCCACCCAAAGCGTCAGTGTTCTCAGGGCCGACAACCCCCCCTCAAGAAGAGTGGGCTGGTGGAGTGTCAGGGGGACCAGTTATTGCTGGGAAGGGGCCTCATGCCCGTGTCAGTTTTGTCCCATAGGTCGTGGACAGCTTTAGGGAGCAGGCATCTCCCGTGACCCCAGTGGGTGTCTACTCCTCCGGGTCTGTCAGTAGGTTGGGGGTCAGGTGCTGGCGGGTCTGTGTGGGCGTCCGGGTGGCCCTTCTGATGGTGCATTGCGGTCTATCGGGTCGAGTATCCAATCTGAGATGGTGATGGGTTGGAGTCCCAGTCTGCACAGGAAGGTTGGTATTTCTCAGGCCAGCGTGCTATCAGCCACTCGTTGCGGTGGTGGGCCTGGAGGCTAAATGGAAAGCCCCATTTGTATGGAATGTTTTGGTCCCTCAGCACCGTTGTGACAGGTCTCAGTGCTCTCCTCGCCTCCAGGGTCATCGGTGAGAGGTCTTGGTACCTCCATGTGGCTCTCGTCCTGGCTGCCCTCATTAACTTTTCTTTAAGCGAATAGGAGTGGAGACAGCAGATAATATCTCGTGGGGTCTCCCTCCCTTAGTCTTGGTCGCAAGGCCCAGTGGGCTCTATCAAATCTCATCTCCGCCGGGGCATCATCTCCCATAATGAAGCGAAACAGTCCGGTCAGGAGTTCCTCTGCTTTTTCCCCGTCCTCTGATTCAGGCATGCCCCGGACCTTGATGTTGGAGCGGCGGCTCCGGTTGTCCAGATGCTCCACTTGGCGCCTCAGGGCTAGGAGCATGTTGCCCTGCTTAGCTACAGCAGTGTCTGTGGCCGTTGCTAGTTGGTGGGCACTTTGGGCCTGGTGTTCCAGCATTTGGATGCAGCCTTTCTGCGTGTCCAAGTCATTCTGGAGTGCCGTGACGGCCGTTGTGATTGAGGCTGAGAGAGTTGTTGCCAACGTTTGCAAGTCATTTTTGGTGACCATAGCCGCTGCTAGTTGCCTGATTTCTGCCCCTATGTCTGCTATTGTAGGTTGATCGTGGTCCGAGGCAGTGTAGGCAGGGGATGTCGGCGCCTTTACGGGGCCCTGCGCCTCGTGGGTAAGCCCCGTCTGGGATTGTAGGAATTCATCCATGGGTCCCGACATCGAGGTCTGGGATGCCCCTCTGGGGGTTTGCAGGTATTCTTGGCATTTAGTACGCCCCATTTTGTGCGGTGAGTAAGTTGCAATTTGCTTTTTAGGAGCTTGGTGGTGAGGAGCTCAGGGGTTAGACGTCCAAACCACGCCCCTCCCAATTATTATTTAAAGCAAAGAGTTTACTCACTATTTTAACTCTTTAGACATTAATATCACAACTTTTTATAAAAATTATAATATTTATATTTGTCAATAAGTATAATTATACACGGTAATTATTGAATAGTTTTCAATAATATTCAACAAGATATGGCATAAATCAGTATCATAGTCTCAGTAACAATTTCAAACTCTAAAGAGTGATTTTTGATAGGATTGTTAGTTTATGGCAAATTCAATCAACCTAGTTAGTATATGGAATATGTTCTTCATACACTATTGATTGAGACAATCAGCAAATAGAATGTTATTATTTGTTAAATTATAAGGAACTATATGAGTTTATCAGCATATGGATTATTATAATTTAAAGTCAGAATTTTTCAGGATCCTAAAATACAATCTTAGCTTTTTACTTATTAGTACAATTTACAAACACATGTGGCTTGTTTGCTTATTGTAACACCATTAATTAGACTTAGCTGGACAGAGTTCATTATTTACTCAGGTGATCCATATGTTTTATCAGCTAGCACAGAATGTTAACCAGCTCAGTGCTGTTTCAGAATAATTATGATTAATTAATTCATCCAGTACCTAAATTCTTGCTGGTTTAGTTAAAACAGTTCTTATCTGATAAATATTTCCTAGATTATTATATGATTAATATTCTTCTGGGTAACTGTTGATATTCTAATTTTTCTTTTATGATTTTTATTAATATTCCAGTCTGCAGTTTGAGATATATATCTTTATCATGAGCTATCATGAAACCCAATCTATAATTTTAGCTTTTAGTTATGTCATTTTATAGTTGGTATAATTGGCTTATATTTACCGATAGATGTTCTGTGTGTTATTTTTAAGATTGTTTCAAGATGTCTTCTTGTCCGTCTATTGTCTGGTGTCTTATCTCCTTTCTCCTTCTGTGTGTCTCTCTGTCTCTCCGTTTATGTGTGTTGTTTTTGTGTGTGTGTGTGTGTGTATATATATCATGGGGTTATATGACATTCCTTATCTGTTAACTTTCTGACCTGGTCCAATGACATTTTGGGGCAAGTCATTATGTTAATAGCTGTTGACATCCTTTTTATATAGATTTCTATATGTCTTAAACAGCAGGTGGAGCTGTTGTCTACGTCAGGAATGTTACCAGCTATTATCATATAGGGTTAAACAATTTAGGAATGTTTCATTTCAAGATGTTTTGGTCAGCATTTCTTCTTTTCTTCTTTTCTCTCAATGTGGACTTTGGTCTCACACCAATAAACCAATGTGTCCTTGCTCACTTAAGTGTTATGGCAATTTCAGGATATTTAAGCTGTCTACTTACTTTAAGATGCTAATTACATCTTTATTACAACTACAAAGATGTAGTTTATATAGATATATAGTTTCTATATATGTAAATTGCTAACTTAGGATCTATCACACTATATTTCTATTTTTATATATAATTAACTTAATTTATATACCTCATAGCGAACACATACTTTTAATTAACACATACTTGTCTTATCTGTATTCTTATCGTTTATTGACACAGGTTTATTTATTAATGTCTGGCTCTTTTAGCTGACAGGATCATACTTTGAGAAAAACATCTTGTTTCTTCATTTTAGCACCTCATGGCATATTAGCTAAATTGCATTTTTGCTATTATTTGCTCTCTTCTGGTGCTCCTCCTACCTCTCCCAGTGCTCTTTCAGTGTTTCTTTCTCTGGCTCTGCTTCTTCTCCCCAACTCCTCTCTGTTGGTGTTCCCCAAGGTTCAGTCCTTGGTCCCCTACTGTTCTCCATCTATACTGCCTCCCTTGGTAAACTCATTACCTCCTTTGGCTTCCAATATCATTTCTATGCAGATGACACGCAAATCTACCTGTCCTCTCCTGATCTCTCCCCATCCCTCTTGACTAGTGTCTCTGACTGCCTCTCTGCTGTTTCTATCTGGATGGCTGCCCACTTCCTTAAACTAAACTTGACCAAAACTGAAATTCTGGTCTTTCCTCCCTCAAGTGTTGTTACTCCTGTGTCTGTCTCCCTCCAAGTCAACAGTGCTACCATCAGCTCCACCACGCAGTCTCGCTGCCTAGGTGTTCTCTTTGACTCCGACCTCTCCTTCAAGCCTCATGTTCAATCTATCACCAAATCCTGTCATTTCCATCTCAAAAACATTGCGCGCATCTGCCCCTACTTAACGCCAGATGCAACTAAGGTGTTGGTCCATTCCACTGTCCTTTCTCGCCTTGACTACTGTAATCCGCTTCTCAGTGGTCTTACGTGCTCCCAACTTGTGCCGTTACAGTCCATAATGAATGCGGCGGCGATGCTCATCTTCCTGTCCGCCCGCACCTCCCATGCCTCATCCTTCTGTCAGTCCCTACATTGGCTTCCTATAAAATATGGAGCTCAATTTGAAATTCTGGTTCTTGCATTCAAATCTCTACATAATGCTGCTCCCACCTATCTATCCTCCCATATACTCAAGTATGTCCCGTCTAGGCCCTTACGATCTGCTGAAGACTTACGTCTATCTTCTGTCCGTACTCCCACCTCTGATGCTCGCCTCCAAGATTTCTCGAGGGCTGCACCGTTCCTGTGGAACTCGTTTCCCTCCTCCGTTAGATGCTTACCCAGTCTCCACTCCTTAAAAAAATCATTAAAACCCACTTCTTCATAAAAGCGTATCAATTAAACTGTTAATAGCTCCTGACTGATTCCTCTTCTGCAACTGTCACTAGTCTAATACTATCCTTACCTTTTTGTGTCATGTTACCCCACTCCCTCTAGCATGTAAGCTCATTGAGCAGGGCCCTCAAACCCTCTGTTCCTGTGTGTCCAACTTGTCTGGTTACAACTACATGTCCGTTCGTCCACCCATTGTAAAGCGCTGCGGAATTTGACGGCGCTCTATAAATATCATAATAATAATAATAATTATGCATGTATTATTTTTATCACACACTATATACGTATTTCCTTCCTACACAATATCTCTGACAGCCCTCGAATGTTTCCAAAACAGAAGATTATATTTACATATTTAAATAAATCCAATAAAAAATACAAGTAAGATGTTTGTCTTTTTTGCTTGTTATTATGAGCCTCTTTTGCTAACACTGGGGGAGATTTATCTAGACAAAATAGGTGTTGATTTAGGTCAAAAGTGCTTAAATTTTAATGGCCATTCTACCAGTTTCCTTGGTGATTGTTTCTCATTTAGCACTTTTCCCCATAATAACACCTGATTTTGTTTTAGTATACCTTTTGGTATAAAATGTACAGAAGAGCTCTTGTGGTCAACCATGTTTTATGTTTTTTTTATTCTCTAATATAAAGGTCATTAGAATAAATGTGTAAAATATGTGATATGTTTAAAACTTTTTTTGTTTTTTTTTTGGTTGATTTTATTTTTTTAGGGTATGTACTCATGTGAGCAATGTCTTTTGGTTTAGCATATAGACCGTAGATTAATATGAGAATTGGAGAGTTTGCAAGATTCATAACATTTCTCTCACTTTTCATTTGTTCAAAGAATGATAGCGTTAGAACGTATATCACATATAATAATGTATAATTATAGCAGAACAATTGTAGCAGATAGTTTTGTTAACTATCCAAACACAAAAAAAGTATAGAAAATTATGTTACTGCACATTTTGATTTTTCTTCCAGGTAAGGGAACGGCTGAGGATATCTTTAGAAAGAGTCACTGCATTGGAAGAAGAACTGACTGTTGCCAACCAGGAGGTAAAATAAAATACTTTTTCCCCTCTAAGCTGCAAACTTTTCCCTTCATCCCCCCACAACCGTTTTTGCATCACGTCTTTTGAATCTGTCAACAAAAAGATGAAATACATTCTGTAATCTTTGCCCCACTGGAACCTCATACAAAATCTACATATCTCCCCAATCCTTCTTTATTTAGCTTTTAACTTGTGGGAACCCAATAGGATGTTTAGTGACAGGTCCCGCTCTACCCATCACCTTTTGATTAAGGAAAGTAATAGTTGGTTGTCAATCACAAAATATATTCAAATAAGAGGCATGTAGATTCAGTGAAGATTTCAGCTTGCACTGTTTAAAGTGAACATTTTACAAGCTGAAAAACAAATCTTAAAGAAAGAAAATGTGCTCATGAATCAAATCCCCTCTGCTATTAAATATTCATTTATATATTCAACTATACATTAAAGGTTTTGTGTGTAATGTAAAACATGTTATGTAAGTAATGAAACTATCAATGAAAGTATATTAAATAAATATGAGATTTTCTTTCCTTCCTCGAGTCTCTTCAGTCCTTTTACAGAACATAAAAATCATCACTCTTCATGTTTGCATGTTGCTCTATAAAATAAGGCTTATTTTTAAAGGTTAACTATTTGTCTGTATAGGAAAGTGTAGCTGATTAACTTAGACTTGTGCATGGCAGAATTTTTTTTCAGCCGAATCACTTCTACTATAAACACAAAAATTATTTTGGAAAACCGAATTATTTCACCCGTATGGCGGTTCGGTTTGACTGAATTTTGTTAACCGAGAAAGATTCAGGAAAATGAACCAAACTGAAATGTGTGAAAATGGGCCAATCAGTGTCCTGCTAAATTCATACAAAATAAAAAATATTATATATACATTTTGCAATACACTAATTGGCCTATTTAATCACCTCCCCCACAATTGTCACATCATATATCAAAGCCATGATAAAAAAATATTACTAGTTGAAAAATCACAGGCGCTATGATTGGTGTCTTAGAGATGCTTATAGATACTTACCACTAATTATCACATTTCTTGATATTCAGAGGAAATACAATATATAAGAATAATGAAATGGAAATGTGGGAA